GCCCCCCCAAAGATTGAACTCAAAGCCCTGGGTTTAGCAGGCTGTTGATTTCACGGAGGGAGGGGGAAGCAAATGAATACAGAACAAATCTGGTCCATCTATTTTTTACATCTTAAGCTGGCAGCAGACGGTGCAGCATGACTGATAGCCATCGGCATCTTCTGGGTGCTTGGCAGAAAATGATGTACTACGACTGCTAGCCATCATCGTCAAGACGCCAGGAGACAAAACATGTCTGCCTAGGTGCCTCTGACCGAACTCACTGAGGAATACGACGATGATGGATACCAGTCATAATACACCATCCACTGCCAAAAGGCAAGGAGCTGCTGCTGTGTAGCAATGCAGCCCCACGTCTGCCAGCACCCAGATAGCCGATGACGGCTACCAGTCATACTGCACCGTCTACTGCCAAAAGGCAATTAGCTGCTGCTGTGTAGCAATGCAGTACCACGTCTGCCGGCACCCAGATGACATATGGTGATGGTGAGGTGAGCTGAGCTGAGCGGGCTCCATGCTTGCCGTGGTATGTTGTCTGCACAGGTAACCCAGGTAAAAAGGCGCGAATCGATTGTCTGCCATTGCTCTGACTGAGGGGGAGGGGCCTGACGACATGTACCCAGAACCCCCCGCGACACTGTTTTTGCATCATCAGGCATTGGGAGCTCAACCCAGAATTCCAATGGGTGGCGGAGACTGCGGGAACTGTGGGATAGCTACCCACAGTGCAACGCTCCGGAAGTCGACGCTAGCCTCGGTACTGTGGACGCGGTCCGCCGACTTAATGCACTTAGAGCATTTTATGTGGGGACACACACAATCAGCTGTATACAACCGATTTCTATAAAACCGGCTTCTATAAATTCGACCTAATTTCGTAGTGTAGACGTACCCTCAGTCTCAGTGAGCAAAATGAAGACAGTTTGTCCTCTTTAGTTTTGTTTACACTAGGGCAGCTAAACATACAGGAAATGACTGCAGAGACCAAAGTTCAGCCTCTACTTTGGCTAGAGCGGGTCAACAAATTTTCTGACAAATAGTTTTCCTTTGGAAAATGCTATTTCAACAAAATCCCACTCGAATGTGTTGATTCCACTGAAACTAGCAACAAAATCAGTCAGGCAAACTGACTGACTAGCTTGCCCTGCTTGGTTCCTTGACAGCCTGCCTGCCAGCTGGCCAGGCGTCTAGCAGGCTGCTCAATTCCCAGGATCCCCCTTTAATGGGTTGTCTGGGTGGCCAGCTCCCTGGCTGGTTTTCTTCCTTCCCAGAATTAAAAAAAAAAGCTGTTCTGTGCAAAAATTTTCATTTCCAGCTTCTTGTTCCAATTCAAAATAATATTTTTTTTTAGCAATATGACCTTTCCCATGGAATTAAATAGCCAGTTCCTGCTCATATCCAATATTCGAAAGAAAGGTTCTGGACTGCAGGGAACAGAACAGACTGTGACTGGCTGAAGCTTACAGCAGACTCTCATTGCTGTGTCATGCCATGTTTAATTTAAAATCATTTTTGTTGTTAAATATAAGCTCTCCGTACCTTATTAAGAACACTACAAAACCAGCGTCGAACATGGTTTTAAAGCAGTGTCGAGCACAGTTTGTCTTTGGCTGTGCTTACAGTTAAAATGTTCAGCACTAATTTAGATACACTATTGGTAACAAGAGGTCTAGAGAAGGATGTCAGCTGTTCAGTTTTTGGCAGCAGATATGGTCCTTTAAAAAGGAAGCAAAAAGGAAGCAACTAATATTTCATGACGTTTTTGGTAAGGTAACTTGGAAGCCTCCCTGAAATGAGTTCATTTTTTTCCATTGGCATGGAAAACTAAGAACCCCAACTGTAGCTCCTCACACTTGGTCAGGTGACAGGGTGGCCCAGCCTTATGGTCACAGCAGGTGTGGGAAACCAAGCATCGGAACTAGGGACTAAGGGTGGAACTAGAGTCAGCAGTCAGAAACTAGAGCTGAAGGTCAAAGTGGAGGTGAGGAACTGAAACAAACAGGTAACACAGGAGCAGTCACAGTGTTGGGCATGAGCACGGAGCAGGCAGCGAGGAGCTGCTGCTGCTGGATTAAGAGCCAGCCTGCTGGCCTCTCCAGCCAATCAGGCAGTCTGCTGCAGGCTGGCTGTACTGATGAGGCTGCCTGGAGACTAGCTGTGTTGTAGTGCCTGATTCCGGACACACATTCATATGTGGCCAAATGGGAGTGTTTTAGTTGAACAAAAATAGACAGAATAAAAGGGTAAATTGACAAATATTTATAGAAATGATCATACTTTTCAAACTACTTGGTTATGCATACTGTCATGTTCTGGGGTGCAGTTTAGAGCAGTCAGAAGTTGTGTCACTGCCTGCCCAGCAGCTTTGGGTGCCTCACAATGCTTTGCTGTTGTAGCTCCCAACCAACCTATGAGCATGCAGGTCACACCCTGAGTTTCTGTCTGTGTGCTAGACAGCTCTGGTTCAGTGGCTCTGAACCAATCATCCTGTCTTCAGTCCCACTGCCCCACTCTGGCTTCTACCAGCCTTGATTACTACTTGCAGGGTGACCCCAATACACTCCCAATCCTGGACTTCCCCAAAATTGCGTGTTCTGCAATGTCCAGCCCTCTCCTGGACAGTTCAGAGAAATAAAATAGCTCGTTTGTATTTCTAAAGACACAAGTATCAGGGGCAGGGCCAGCTCCAGGCACCAGCTTCTCAAGCAGGTGCTTGGGGCGGCCACTCCGGAGAGGGGCGGCAGGTCCAAGTATTCGGCGGCAATTCGGCGGACGGTCCCTCACTCCGCCTGGGAGTGAAGGACCTCCCACCGAGTTGCCCCGGCGGGGGGGGGGGGGGGCGTTTTTTTTTTTTTTTTTTGGTTTTGGCTGCTTGGGGCGGCCAAAACCTTGGAGCCGGCCGTGATCAGGGGGTAGTCTGTATCCACAAAAACAACAAGGAATCCGGTGGCACCTTAAAGACTAACAGATATATTTGGGCATAAGCTTTCGTGGGTAAAAAAACCCTCACTTCTTCAGATGCAAGGAGCCATAACCCTCCCACTTTTTGAAAGTGGATGGGCCTGGCCCAGTCCACTTTTCACCAGGGCAGACCCTGCCCCCTTCCCCTCCTCTTCCCCCAAAGGCCCCACCCCAGGGCAGGTAGAGGGTTCGCTGCGGCTCCCCACAGCTGCCTGCCTGGCTCTTATCATGGCCGGGCTGCGGCTCTGAGGCCCCCCGAATGGAGCCAGGTTGGGGAGAGCTGCGCGGGCAGCTGTGGGGAGCCTGGGTCCCTCCACCTGCCACAGGCAGGGGGCTGCCTTCACCTCCACCTTGGGTGGGGGCCCCCGGCCCTCCCCACTTTTGGCAGGGTTCCAGCACCCTTGCCCTGGGCTGGGGCTAATGGGGGCCGGCCTACAGCCAGGGACTCTGAGCAGCTGGGAGCCATGCTGCCCGCCCACCCAGCATGCTGGGGGCCGTGATCAGCCAGAGACTTCAACACACTTGCCTGCCTGCCCGCCCATCCGCCGCTCCGGGACGCGCTGCCTGCCCATCTGGCGCTCCAGGGCTGGGGGAGGGGTCTCTGGGTTCCGGCGGGGGAAGAGGGGTGGGGCCCCAGGCAGAAAGGGGCAGGCTGGTGGGAGCTAGCCTCCCCAAGCCCGTGGTTCACCCACTGCCCATGCCAGTAAGCCTTCGAAATGAATTATTCTGAAAATTAAAACCCAGACCATGCTTCTCTCTTCTGCTGGGTATACATGCCATGCTGTCTTCTCCCCCACTTGTTAATGTGTGGTTTACCTCCACCCCTTGTTAGCTTGATGAGTTTGTTTAATGCTTATATGTAAATTGAGGTAAACATTACTTTGTTTAGGATAGACCTGTTTAACAAGACCCCCTGCCATACCTGGTTTACACACTCTTCAGGCATAATTCCAGCATATATTCATAACTCTTAATGCCCATCACATACATATATCACACATGAATATTAATGATCAGTGAGTTATTAGTTTTCAAATGATACCTCACAAGGCATATTTTGTACAAAGACCACCACAATATTGTCTAGGGTGTGAATACAGGAGTGCCTAGCATCACCCATACTTCAGAAGCAATACACAGCACATACTGCACTGAGAAGAGAAGGACTGTTTTATGGTTAAGGCACTGGAGTGGGGCTCAAGGATTTTGGCTCAATTCCTTGCTTTCCCACAGATACCCTGCGTGATCTTGGGCAAGTCATTTAATATCTCTGCCCTCGGATGTGGAGATTATGACAGATATCAGACAGTGCTTTTCCCAATTAAGAATGGTGCCTTCAAAGGTTGAGCAGCACATACAGTGATGAGCTGAGCCCCTTCAAATCCTAGTAAGACAAAAGGGGCTCAGCACCCTGTATAAACTGGGCTTATGGAGTGATACGTTTGAATATTTCTTCGGCATTGGCCTAAGAGCTTGACACTATTTAGTTTGATTTAAAGTGAAGAAGGAAAACCTGATTAGTGTGGCATGCTAAGACCTGGCTTGTCCTGGGGAAACAGAGGCTGTTGATAGTCTGTGTCACAGAAAGAAACTGGGTTCAACAAGGCAAATTTCTCAGAGACAGAAGGAATCTTGGAATCCAGAATCACATGTCTTATTCAAGCCTTTCCTTACAGAGGAGGTTTCTTTGTAATGGTATGGGGAATCTCACCCTATCCTAAACTTGATGTTTTCCCCCCTCCCACTGATCCATATATCCTCCATTCTCCCTTTCTTCCTGTGATTTTTTCAAATTACTTATGCTCCCATAGTGTGCAGTAACTGAGTTAAAAAGAGTTTTTCCCATTCTCTTTATTATGGCTGCCTTTGGGATTATGTAGGATGGTTGTATTTTAGTGACAACATACAGACTAAAATGTGATTCTATCTTATGATGTTTAACCTGGGTCACATGTGCAATAGTTGAATACCTGATTAAGAACATCTACAAAATAAAAACAGAAGTAAAAATTGCTGAAGACTACAATCTGAATGCAGGGTTTTTTAATCTTAAACAATTGCAGTTAATTATAATAAAAAAATGGATACTGATATTTTAAATCACTTTGAAAAGTAACCAAATCAAAAACCAAACACCCCATTTAAATCACTCCAGGAAAAGGAAGTTCACATGTCCTACTTCCAGTAAAGTATAGGCCCCACTCATGTGAACACTTACACATATGAAGTTACACACATGAGTACACGGACTACAACAGAACAACTAAAACAAGTCAAGTATATGTAGGACCCTAAAAAACACAGAACATTCAACAGAACACACCCAAATCCTTTTTATATTGCTATTTTGATAGTGATGGGTGCAATAGAAATATGAGGGTACATAGACCTGCATGTACATTATTGCACATTTCCTGGCATTTTCAGGACTTTTTGCATGGGTACAGATCGCTGTTTGAAAACTATAGCACAACTACAGTATTGCCATTTTTAAAATAAGCATATTTACCACATACTTAAAATATGCTCAATGTACAATGCTCAGGGAAAATGCATTGTATATGGAAAACAGAATCATTTGAAACTATAATTTGGTGTGATGGGATAGTCTATTAAAAGGAATGTTTATTTGAAAATGTAACTACATTATCTAATTGAAGGATTTCAATTTTTTCTCTTTTTCAAAATAATTACAGTATTCATGGAAGGTATTGGATTGACAACTCAGAAGAATGGATCTAATTAATAGTTTACATGAATCTCTGATTTATCAACAGTTTTGTTTAGATGTGGACCTGAACAAAATCCCAGAGGTGACCTTTACCCCAACTCCTAAAGTAAAAGTTTTAAGGGGATAAAAATCCAGGTTCTAAAGTGAGTTTTGTTGCTCAGGCCAATATCTGCTGATAAAGAGCTGGATCCCGCCATATTAAAGTTAGTGTAAGTTTTTCTATGAGTTTGAATGGCAGCAAAATCAAGCCAGTAGCAAGTAGAGGCTAACAGTTAATAAAGATGCAGAGCTGCTGTCCAATTAATTGGTTTTGTAATGGAATCGTGTCAATAATGTAACGTGCACTAACTAGACAGAATATATTTAGATTGCAGAATATGAAAAATAAGATACTAGATAATGACTATAGTTAACACAGATTAACATTACAGGACGTTCCTATTCTGAGAAAAGCATCAATAGCCACATCATGGGAAAGCCTGTTGTGGGTGTGGGGGGTCCTTTTCATACCACCTTCCAAAGAGTGTCACTGACAGGACTGGTTTAGAAGTGCCATTCTGGTTTATCAGACGTCCATCACTTAATACCTAGTTTGAGAGAAGAAAGATAAATAGTACTATTAACAGAGCAGTGTGTGGGCAACATTAATATGTTCAAGTATTTCAGTTTAGCTTGGAAAAAGGCATGCAATGTACAACCCAATTTCTGACTCAAGCCAATTACCAAGAGCAGAAGGCCTCTGAGCATACCCAAGTTGTCACAGTTGGACAATTTTTATGTTTAGCACTGGCCTTTGTCATCTTAGAATAGGATCCTTTGAAATGCAAGTCTGAAACAGCTCAAGGGCATCCTCTTACCTGAAATTCACCAGGCGCCAGTTGAACCCCAGTGAGCAAGACTTCTGGAAAGATGTAGCTAGTGCCAAATGTGCCACTGAGAGAGAATGTGTCAAAGCTGGTGTGAGCAGTGGCCACTGGCTGCCCACAAGTTTTCAAGTCTGTGCTTTTACACTTCAGTAGTGTGCATATCTATGGGGAAGAAACAGAGGGGATATATTTGGAGAGCTTACAGTAAACAAGAGCCAGGCTTAGACAGCAGGAAAAACCTCTCATTGGCAAGGCATTATAAAAGTATTTACTCATATAATTAAATCAGACCCATGGATGCTCTGATGCCTTGTAATTCAACAGAATGCTTCACCTGTGCCACTGGGTGTGTGTGTGTGTGCGCGTGTCCACTCAATTATAGCTCTGCAATTGACACAATTTGTGGCCTGAACAAATCACTTCAGCTCTCTCTCAGTTTCGCAGTCAGTGAAATGGGGATGTTTGCCTGTCCTACACAGAAGGATCCCTTTAGGCTTACACAATGTTGTAGAAATGGTACTACACTGGAAATAAGAATAAACTCAAAAGCTGTGTGTAAAGAGTGGATTATATCCCTGTTTCTTAGATACATTAGCTTGCAATCCCAGTAATACATTAAAGAGTCCTATCAGCATGAGCATCGCTTCAACCTGATGCTAAATGTTCAAAGCTGAAACAAGCTGTCCCACAGGATAGAGCATCTCTGCTGAGTCAGCAAGTGCTGCAACAGGCTGTCCTCCTAAAGTTAGTATGTGTTCTAGGGAGGGCTGTGTGCCTTCCCTTCCAGGTACAGACACCAACTTCTCTGAACCTTTATAATCAAAGATAAACCCAGGCCTTTGGCTGGGAAAAGACATCACAGACCTCTGATCACTTACATCACAGACAGAACAGGAAGCATCAAGATCCTAAACTGGGTAAAGAAGACCTGTGGGGTTAATAGCATCCTATTTCTCAAACATTTGTTTTAAGAAAGCACTTTGTGATGAAGTATCTAACTATCCTTTGGGGCAGATGTGAAGAGCTCCAAATGGAAAAGGGATGTTCCAGCCCTCCGCCACCCTACCCCATCAGAAATAAAGAGAAAAAGCTTTACCTGCAAATAGTATTCTCCTTCAACAACATGAAGGCCATCAAAAGCACCTAGCACATATACTTCATCTTCTTGCTTCTCCACCATCCTGTAGCTCAAATGACAGCAAAGGTCTTTCTGGCAAACTGTACGATTTCCTTCAGGCTTAGTGAGTTCAGTGAAGGTGAACTTATCAAAGTAAATGACTCCGCTAAAATTACGGTCATCTGGTGAGAATCGTTTTATGCTTGTGGCATACGAGCTCCAGTTGACAGCAATAGGGTAAGTGGGAGAAAGACGAGGGTGTGAACTCAGCTCTGCAACCAGGAGGTGACCGTTCTCTGTTTCTGTATTGTAATGAAATGCCCTGGGTCCATTTGGTGCATAGATGCCACTCCCTGTGTGTGACAGACAAGAGGGAGCTTTTAATCAGAAAGGAATTACCCATTTCATATTATGCACTTCATCATCACATGTTAAACATGTGCAGAGTTTTATTCCGTTATTGTCAAAACTATTTTAAAATCAAAATTAAAGCTTTTACACACTATAAGCCTGGTCTAATGCTCATTGACGTCAATGGGAACTAGGCCAAACTCAAAGATTTCTCAGCATGTAAGTGACATGTAATGGGAGATAAATCACATGCTAGTAAGTGTGACTAAATTGGTGTAAATTACAGTGATTGGGAAGGAAGGTAGAAATTACACTCTTTTATATTCCTTGTTGGATTTGGTCTTGTCTCTCTTATGCAGTTTTTATTTGGCAGAGTGGCTGGTAACACTGTAAAGCAAATAAAACATTTTAGGGAAAACATGTGCCAAGAAATCCCTTACCTTTGCACCTCCATGTAGGTCTTAAATGTCTGGCTATCATTTTTATTTTACAATACCAAAAAACAACCCACCTCCCACAAAAAACAATCTCTGAGGAAAGAATAGGGCCATTTAACTTTAGCATAGCAATGACTCAAAATCAGTGGAGATGGCTGTGAAGATGCCTAAATAAAGGGGCCCAAGAAGCAAAAGGTTTAGTGCTAGCTGTCAACTGAAATTGCTCCCCCACAGTAATACTAAGCTATAAATTGGACAAGTCTCATATATGAAAAAGGAATGACAAGTCTGTTCATTTGAAATTAATAGTCATGCAAGTGTTAGGCCCATCCTTAACAGATATATCAGATTGTATACTATGCTATTGCTCTGTGACAATGAACACATACACAATTATAATGTATGAATCCTAGCAACAGTCTGAAAAAAAAAATTCAAGGAACAAGTCTATAAAGAAAGTTTGATACTAGTTTATAAAGCAAACAGATATTGCATGAAAATCAGCCATCACAACTCAATTAAGAGTATTCATCAGTACTAAGTCTCTACCTAGTGGAGATACACGTTTGTTGCATCAGATTAACAAACGATAGTTACATGGCATTGCTGAAAACCAAGGTCTGTGGTGAGACTACACTGAACCATAAAATCAAACTTCAGCAATTATTACTTAACAAGGAATTTAAGTTCTACAAGTCAACCTAAAAAAATAACTTCGTTCTGAATTTAACATTTTATTTCTGCTCTATCTGTAAACATTCATTACTAAGACCCTGACCCTGCAAATACTTACACACACATACATAAATTTAAGTACACGAGTAGCTCTACTGAAGTCAGCTGGACTATTCACATGCTGAACTTGAAGCATGTGCATAAGAGTTTGCAGGATCAGGGCCTAAGATACCAAATCAGTTAACCCAAGATTGTAAATTACCTGTCGTATCTAAACTGGAGTTGCGTGTATTCGCTGAAAGAAAATTGACGCCCATTCCCATAGCCCATGCAGAGTGGAACTGGCTAGCAGACAAAAGTGGTAGAGTATTCATCCAAGCTGTTGGGAACAGCACAGTATCCACTTGTAACTTGCTCACCAGGACCACAGCAGGATCATGGAAAAGTATGTCCGCACAAGTGAAAATGCCAAACTTTCCAAAGGTTGTATTGAAAGTGACAAACTCTGGCTCCTTAGGGTAATCAAACTGAGTTTCTGTCACAAAGAGGTTGTACTGTTTATGGGAAAGCGAGAAAGGAAATATATTAGGCCATATAAATCGGAACTCAGTGCAGTTAAATTGTTTACATAAATACAGGGAATACAGAGTCTATGTTTCTGTTAAATTCTATTTTTTTCCACATTGAAAGAGGCTGGATTACAAGACAAAAGAGAAGTCAGACAAAGTATACAGGCTTCCCTTTTCTCTTCCATGAATGGTATTTGAATTTATTCATTGGTAGGAAGTTTATGAAATATTGGATTTTTCATACCCCGAGAGAATGTCCCTTCATATTTATAAATGGTACCAAATGGCCTTTTGGGAGCTTAAATTAAATTTCAACAATAGCAGAAAAAGTGATACCGCAAGTTAGTGCCTAGCATTTCTAGTGTCCTTGCTTTTAAACCATGATTTCAGTTAAATTTATATGTAAGTTTGGGGAACTTACTGTAGTTTCACAGTTTGTTCTCATAATTCCTTACTAGAGGGTGACATAATTTGTTGCATCTGTAGGCTAAGCATTGCACACTGAGCCAAGAGGCTCTTTGCACTCCTCCTTGCACTCCTCCCCACCCAGCTCCTTCAGTACCATCTCCCTCCATTTCAGGGACACCCTAGTGTCTGCGTTCTTTGTGTCCCCCATTCCCTCCTTTCCCCCCATACCAGGGGCTTTTGTGCACCCTCATGGCTCCTTATTTCCTCCTACCACCCTTCTTATTTTCATATTTTTCTTTCTTTTTCAGGGTATTAACACTTTAAACAACTGGGAGGATGGAGAGAGCTGAGATGGGGAAGCTGTTATGCTGGAAGGTGCCATCAATTGGTTCTTTGTTCTACAGACAACTACAAAAGTGGTTGCAGCTGCTGGCTCTGCCAATCAGATGCCCAGGGCTGCATGTGTCCCTCTTTATACCCTTCAGGTTTTCCCAGTTTTCACCAAAATCCATAGGGTTCTGTCCACTAGGGTTACCATATTTCAACACTGAAAAAAGAGGACACTCCACGGGGGCCCCGCCCCCCCAACTCCGCCCCTTCCCTGCCCCCGGCCCTGGCCCAACTCCGCCCCTTCCCAACTCCTTCCCCAAAGTCCCCGCCCCAACTCCGCCCCCTCCCCTGACCACTCCACATTCTCCCTCCTACCTCCCGCCCCCTGGCTCCGGCTGCTGCTGTGCTGGGGAAGTTGCTTCGCCCCCGCCACAGTGGAGAGCAGCGGGAGCCGGGAAAGTTGGAGCCCGGGGAGGAGGTGGCTGCGTGCTCGGATGCTGCCTGCCACCTCTGTGCCCCAGCAGATCAGCAGATCGCGGGAGCTGTAAGTTTTGCTGCAGCCACTCGCACTCGGGGTCCCCTTACCATGCCTCCCTATTTTCCCGGACATGTTCGGCTTTTTGGAAATTCCTCCCGGACGGGGATTTGAGGACCAAAAAGCCGGACATGTCTGGGAAAATCCAGACATATGGTAACCCTATGTCCACTGATGCCTAGAACATTCCCTGTAACTTTGAAATTGATTGGATATGGCATTCAGAAGCTATCGCATTACACCCAAACAAAGAAATGCCATCAAATTGAATGTAAGGCCTCACAAGCTCAGCTGACTACTTAAGTCACTAGCTACCTAAGTGCTAGTCTACACTGGCAACACTAAAGTGCTGCCGCGGCAGCGCTTTAACGTGACTTGTGTAGTCACGGCAGAGCGCTCTCTCCCTGCGCTGTAAAAAAAAAAAAAAAAAAAAACTCCACAAGGGGCGTGGCTCCCAGTGCTGGTGCACTGTCTACACTGGCGCTTTACAGCGCTGAAACTTGCTGCGCTCAAGGGGGTGTTTTTTCACACCCCTAAGCGAGAAAGTTGCAGCGCTGTACAGTGCCAGTGTAGACAAGCCCTAAGAGAGACCAAGTAGGTATTGCCTGGGGTTCACCAGTGGCATTAATTTTCTGCCCTTCATAAGGTTTGTGAAAGAGCAGTCAATTGTGGCTGCCCATTGAAGCAAGAACTAGATTGGACTGGAACATTTAAGGTTAATGTTTTGACAAATTGGGGCTAAAGCTTCCTCAGCTAGGATTCTGCAGCTGTGGCTGGGAAAGCAAATTCCTCTAACTACAGACACTGAAAATGTGACCTCTCCTGCTTTAACATGGCATCACACTCCGATCCTCTGCATGGCACTAAACATATTCCACAATAGTTTTAGTTATAGAATTTTGGGAAAAAATGATAGATATGATTAAAATGAGTGAATTACTGCACTGAACTGTGCAAAGTTGTTTATTTCTTACCTTATGGTAGCGTGCCACCAATTTCCCTTCTGAATCAAAGACAACGTCAGTATTATACTGATAGTGACCATCGCTGGGACACTTGGGATCACTGGAATTACATGGCTTCTTGTCTCCAATATTGGCAACCACATAGATCGCATTGCTCCTTGCCATGCAGCTGAGTCTTTCCTGCACTGGTGCAGGAGCAAATCTAATTGTCAGTGAGAAATTTAAAAAAAAATAAAAAATTCTAAGCTTAAGGCTTTGGAGCAGAAGAATGATGGATTTAAGTTAGAAGACTGCTGTTGTAGGGTAACCAAATGAAAGTACAGAATAGACCATTGGTGAGTCTATAAAAGTGTTCAGAATAAAATCCAAAAGTCTCCCTTTGTGCCAGTATGGGTTATCCGAACTGGACAGAACAGTGTGATATTGGGCTTCCAGTCTCTCCCCACCCACTACACCTCATTTTCCTCCTAGACTAGATTCCTCTCACCTATGCAAACAATTCCTTGTTCCACTGAAAAAAACCCCATACACTTGTGTGTGTGTATTTATGTATATTCACACAAGACACACACAAGACACACACACACACAAAACAATAAAGGAACATTATTATGGTTGCAAAGTCAAGCCCTCAAAAATTAGGAAATGCCAGAACTAAGCGCCAGAAATGAGATTTGGGAAAGAGGAAAAGTGAAACAACAACATTACAACAAACCCACAAATATCGGAGGTTTGGATGTATGGGTTTTGTTTGTTTGTTTATGCTTGAAATCCAAATGTTTAACTAGTTACTAAAACATAATATAAAGACAATGTCACAACTCACTCTTCAATTTAAGTTCAGGAACCATTGCACACATTGTGTGCTGTCTTATCTTTGAGCAGGTACTGCCTATCTTAATGCTGAACGTTTCTTAGGCTCTGATCCTACAATAAGCTCCACACAAGCAGACCCTGGAACCTGCTTGGAGCTCATTGCAGAAGCAAGTTCTTATTCTGTACATGCACATCCCTTCATTCCTTTTCCCTGCCTCTATACCATGAGTGGGGAAAATGGGGTAAAACAACAACAAACAACAACAACAACGTGTCTTTACAAATCAATTTAATTTAATCTATGACCACAAACACTGCAATGCCTTAGTCATAACTGTATGGTTATTGAATGGCATCATTACAGGTCAGGAATTAATATTGTTTGAGTGCTTAAATTGTACATTTTCACACCTTAACAGGTTTGAATTGCTTTGAAACTCTTGAGTTTCTCTGAGTTTATAATTAGACATGGGCAAAATCAGAAGACTATAGGAGTTGTCCTCTGGACCAATGAGTATTCAAGTATTTTATACAAAGTTGAACATCTTCAACAGGAAAGACTGATAGAGACCCACCTTAAGTAACCAATATCATATCTGGTGAATAACCTAACCCTTGAACTACAGGTTATTGGGGGGAGGAATGTGTACCAACATCACCAGCTTTCCTTCTCCCAACCCCCAATTTTGTGAATCTAGCCCTTAAAATGCCCAGAAAAAAACCCTTCACGTCATGAAACATTTTGGTGAACTCAAAACAGACATTTTCCAGTAGTCAAAATTCCAAAAAAATTTGGAGTTTTACCTGAACTGAAGGGTTGGAGCTTTTTTGTTTTTGTTTTTTTAATTATTGCAAACTGCCAGCAAACCAACCAACCAAACAAAAAATCAGTTATTCTCCCAGCTCTATTTATAATGATAGGTTTTGGGATAATTGAAACACCCCTGTAATGTTTTTTACACTTAAGTTTTCACGTGGTTTCTATCTTAACTGAGTTTTTTGTCTAGGCACTGCACACGCACACACACATGCAAGCACCCTGCTACCTCAATACGGGGTAAGTGAGTTTTTAACTTATTTTAAAATTTGGGACTGTTCCATAATAGTTTGCAGAGATTAGTGTACATGCAGCTTTTTTTAAATTTAAATTATTGAAAGATGCTCCAAGATGTATTAAACATGTTCTCTAGGAACCCATAGCTGTGTTTAAGCCTTTAAACAAGGCCCACTTCAGCCTAAATCTCCAGCTCAAAAATACCTGAGGTTTTTTTTGTTTGTTTGTTTCTGCTCTGGATAGCAAATTCTTTGATGCAGGGAACTATGGGTGCAGGGGATGCTGCAGCACCCCCTGACTTGAAGTGGTTTCCATTATATACAGGATTTACAGTTTGGTTTAATGGCTCCCAGCACCCACACTATATAAAATCTTGGCCCTCAGTGGAAATTTTTGCCATTGACTTCAATTGAGCCAGGACTGACTCCAAATCTCTACTTTTGTACAATATTGATTACCATGTCATTGCTCAAACAAGCACAACAATATTTTAAAGGTAAACACAGCGGAAACGCAAAGCCAGTATTTGCAGCATTTATAAATATTAGAATGGCTAAACTCTGGCTTTGCTTAGCATCAAGTGATGGTGGAACATTTGCATTCCAACAAGCTGGGGAAAAATCACCCTTGCATAGATGAAAAAACAAACTGACTCATTCTTCTAGAGCCACCTAGTGGCAAAACATTAACAAATATTTCTATGACTATATATTATTAATCATTAATTGTAGCCGAGCACAACTGCTTATCATGTATTGACATTACTGTGACAGAATGTACTCATGTCCACACTCTACACGCTACTGTAACAGTCTTTGCACAAAGTATGCCTTGGGAGATGATATTTAAAAATTCATTTGCTGATCAATAATACCATGGCAAAATTCACATAGCAGCGTTATGTGTGAAGTTATAAACATAATCTGAGATCATAATTAAAAGTATGTTTTCCAGAAAAGTCTGGGGAGTGGCCAAACAAGTTCCTCAGAGTGCCTCAGCTAGGTGTAAACAAGGTCAATAGGTCATTACCCGCTAAGTGGCTATTCTTTGGCAAGAAAGGGGGTGGGGCGGGGGGAATCTACATCTTAGCAAAGAAACAGTATGGAGTTCCCTTCCACACAGACTGCCTGTCGCCATGCTCCCAGCTGGAACTGCTCATCGAAGAGGGGACAGGATTATAAAAAGAAGGGGCAAACACCCCATGGCACCCCACCTCCTTCCTCTCATTGTGTCCATTGATTCACTACATGAGAAGGGAAAAGGAAGCACCAACAACACAGAAGAAGGGGTCCTGGCGTAAAACGTTTGGCCAGTAAGACTGCTGAGAACAACTTTGCTTTGAATTTAACAGTTAAATTTAACAAGCACCAGTTGTATTTTATGTTTATTTTTCTTGTAACCATGTCTGATTTTTATGCCTCAATACTTGTATTCACTTAAAATCTCTAATTTTTTAGTTTATAAACCTGTTTTATTGTTTTAATCTAATCCAGTGTGTTTAAATTGAAGAATCTGGGAAACTCCATTTGGGGTAACAAAGTGTGTGCATATTATTTCTATTAAAGAAATAGACTTTTTATGACTTTGTTTTGTCCAGGAGAGGGCTGGGCAGCACAGGACATACATTTCTGGGTGGAAATATAGGAGAGGGTGTGTGTTCCAGGAGTCACCCTGGAACACAAATCAAGGTGTAGTTGGCAGGCTGCAGCACACACCCAGACATAGCTGGGAGTGACTTGATGTTGCTGTTTGTGAGCAGTCCAGATTATCTGGAGGCTACATCAACAAAGCAGTGTAAAGGGCACCCCAAGTTAGAGGGCGGGGGTGACACAGGTACTCATTAGTCTGCATTGTACCCTGATATGTCACAATTACATCACTGCCTTTTATTAGACAAACACCTCTCAGGAGTGGTCTAGATAATACTTAGTCCTGCCATGAGTGCAGGGGACTGGACTAGCAGATCTCTAGAGGTCCTTCCCATCCTATGATTAGCTATTGATTGAGGAGATTCCTGTAATCCTGCCATATTAAAATACTAAAAAGACAATGTGATGTGTCTTAAGCACATTGAAAAATAAATAATTTTAAAAACTGCAATATTATGACCTAAACTAATGTTACAGTTTACAAAGGGGAAAAAAAAGGTTGACAGCTTCCATTATTTTATAATCATTTCCCAATTCTGCTTAACTGGGTACTCAGATACAGAGATAGCAATTGCTTAAAAACAAAGATTTTAAATTATTAGGGTCTGAAAGTCCTTCTTTGAAGTAATTCAAGTTGAATTTTGATTTTTGTTTGTTCAGTAGTGTTTTTCTTTACACTATTAACATGTTAGTACTAAAATGCATAAAGTTATTGGGATTATTTTCCTTTAAATGCACCTTAAAACCTACTAAAATAATGTTATTCCTTCATCTTAGAAATATTTCTATTTCATATTTGCTCTTCATAAATTATTGCACTGTGACATCATGGAATAGCTCTTAGGACCTGATAACGAGGGTTGCCAGTTAACATTGACTGGATTTTGACTTTTACTTAATCACCAAAAATATGTTCAAGCACTAAAGAAAGATCACTATGTCATGTCTCATTGCTCAATTGGGGTTCAGATAAAAACACAGGATTATAGGATTTATTTTTTAAACCTTGGAGCAGGCTTCCCCCATTTCAGTAGTGAACATTACTTAGGTCCTGATCATGTCCCAGCACCCACATAGAGCTCATTGAAAAAGCAGAGTCCTTATAAATTGCATTTCGTGTTTTTCTTTCAAAGAAGCATTGAACCCAACAAGTACATTAAATGAAACTGAGAAACTGTACTTAGATTATACTTTATGGGGAAAAAACAATCAATCAATCATGAAAAACTTGTCAGATAGTACGTTCTTGTGATTAGGCTACACAAGCTCCTATGAAGTCACTCATCGCCACCTCTGAATGGAGATTTTTGCCTCTCCCCTACCACCCACCGCCCCTTTTAGTAGCAAAGACAATACCTGTCAGGGTCAGTACATGGAATCCAGTTCACCTGTGGATCTGGGATGTCCTCAAGATAGGGGTAAATGGTTTCTCTTGTGAAAACCCAGCCATAAATACCATCTTCAGGAGTCACAATAATATGTGCACCCTGGCAAAACAGACTAAATTAAATAAGTCTCCATCTAAATAAATACATCTCAGTACAGAATAGCCAATGACAGTACCTGCAGGGCTGCTGCTTTGATGGCCCCTTCCAAAACATCCATATTTTTGTTCATCAGCATCAAAGCATCTTCAGGAGAAACAGGTATTTTGGTGTCCTCTGACAATATAACTGAGTGCTCATACACTGCTGCAATGTAGCTGTCCAAAGCACAGGCCTTAAGGACAGACAAAGCAAAAATTGTAGCGTAAACATGAGGCTGGGAATAGACCATGTTTGAAGCTTGTTAGTTGCTCAAATGACTGCAAGTACAGGCAAGTCTAGAGGATTAAATCAGAAAACTGATTGCCTCACTTTGGAAACCTCCATTACCTATTTAATCAAGAGATTCTGTTACAGGAAGTCCACATTGTGCAACACAGTTACCACATCTAGAAAGTCTTATACCATAAAGGACATCTGAAGAAGTGAGGTTTTTTACCCACGAAAGCTTATGCCCAAATAAATCTGTTAGTCTTTAAGGTGCCACCGGACTCCTTGTTGTTTTTGCCATAAAGGACAAAAGACCTGCAAAAGTAATGCTGTGCCATTTTAATTACCATTTAGTTGCCATAGAAGTCACTGTGAAAAAGCTGCAGAAAGACAGCACTGCTGATTTAGAAACACTGCATGTCTATGGCAGAGACGATGGTGTGAATTCAAGGCTAGCCAGCTCAGTAGAAAAACCAAGTACGGTGAAATCACAGCAGGATCCAGTTACTTACACATGCTGGGCTAAACCTTCCGCCTTAAATCACACAAATAATTTATTTAACTGCAGTGGAACTGTTTGCACGAGTAAACCAAACAGGATTTCATGGGAGGGGTAAAAGCTGAACAGCCCATTATGGCATTTTAATAAATAAAACTGATTTTAAAATTAACAGATCCAGTCAGACAACCTTGAGAATATTTTAGTAATGAGAACCAGTTAATAGCACACTGTCATTAACCTGTTCTGGTCCAGAGTCATTTTTAAAATGCCCGAGAACAGTCAGTTCCAAAGTTGGACAGCCAGCCAGAATCATACAAATAAGTGAGCATAACATAGTACGAATGAACAACCCAGCCAAACTGAGCTTTAACTGGCCATTACAGGCAATAAATAGCTTTATTACTAAAACTGCCCAGATGCTCTGTTCTAAAGTGGCACAAAGGATGATACATGTAACATAACAGAGAGCAACATACTAGTTATGAAAAAACAGTCCAAACTGACCTTTAGCTGTCTGTTCCAGGCAATAAAAGAGTTAATTATTAATATAACAGAATATTCAGTTCCAAAGTAGCACAGAGAACAAAAATATTGCATATAATACAACTAAGTGAGAATAACATAATACTGCTGGAAAAAACGCAACCAAACCAGCCTTTAACTACTCATTCTGGTCAATACATTGGTTCATTATGGATTAAAAATATCCAGAACTGCATATTCCTGAAGTGAAGGGAGAATAAAAATAATGCTTAGGCCTATATAATGGTCATAACCAACTTTTAATACTATACCAACTTCTGTGCAATAAAACATTATGTTATTACTATTAGCCTATTTGTGTTGTTATTCTTGTTGTCGGTAGCAGATAGAGAGGAGTAGTGGTAGCCTCTTTTACTGCTGGAACCATTTTTGTAGGGAACAGGTTATGTGCTACAATCTATATTGTTTTGTGGGTTTTTTGTTTTTAATCAAAATAAATTTTCTAACAGGGCAGAGAATTGAACCTGGATCTCCAGAGTGCCAGCCTAGCACCTTCGCACCTTAACCAATGGACCACCCTTCCTCTTTAATGCAGCTGTGTAGTCTAGATCAGGGGATGGCAACCCTTCAGAAGTGGTGTGCCGAGTCTTCATTTATTCACTCTAATTTAAGGTTTTGCGTGCCGGTAATATATTTTAACGTTTTAGAAGGTCTCTTTCTATAAGTCTATAATATATAACTAAACTATTGTTGTATGTAAAATAAATAAGGTTTTTAAAATGTTTAAGAAGCTTCATTTAAAATTAAATTAAAATGCAGAGCCCTCCGGACCGGTGGCCAGGACCCCAGCAGTGTGAGTGCTACTGAAAATCAGCTCACGTGCCGCATTCGGCACTCGTGCCATAGGTTGCCTACCCCTGGTCTAGATGAAATTAGTGGGACTACCTGGGTGCACAAAGTTAGCATGATTAAGCTTCTGTTCTGAAGATTTTACAAGGTAAGGCCCTCATCCTGCAGAATGCTTGGATGGTGTATAACACCGCTCTAAGTCTGACTAGTAGATGTGCCTATAAACATGAACTCCTGTTCCACACAAAATTCTGAAGTTTCAGAAAAATTTTCTTTCTAAAATGGAACAAGTAAAATTCCAGTTTCCTGTTCTAAAAGAAACCTCAAGATGACATCTGTGGGAGAGAGACCTCAATATTGATACAAAATATGATATTAATAAAATTACTATAACTGTGATAGGGTGTCCATCCCACACAGGACTGGAAGGGGTTAAAGTTGACAGGTAGGCCTATTAACTCCATAGGCTGCATCTAGAAGAAGAGCCAGGGAGCAGGGAATTGATTGCAAGCAGGTTCCGCTGTGCAGGAACAGTGGGCCTCTAAAGCCAGGAAGCTGGTAACAGATGAGCTGCTGCTGGGAAAGGGAAGTCACTCCCTGGGAAGAGGGTTTGGAACTGGTACATTCAGGGCAAGGAGAAAAACCAGGAGTTGTAGGAAGCAGTCTAGGAAAGAAGCAGTAAGAGCTGTGAGAAGAAAGCCCAGAAATACTTGGGTTGAGGGTCCCTGGATGGGAATTCAGAGAAGAGGGTGGCCCCAGGTTCCTGTACCACCACTGGGGAAGTTGCACCATCAGGGCAGTGCTGGAGAAGACTGCCTGGGCCTTTTTGTGCAGAAGGACTTTGGGTAAAACCCTAGACGGCAGGGGGAACACTGAGTAATTTGGCTGGAGAGCTGAGTCATGAAGAGGCTGCATCACCTCCTGGGGCAAGAGAGGGGCTGCAGACAAAGAGAGAGGTGGAGGGATAGCGAGCAACCGCAGGAAGGCGTGTTGAGCCAGTACGGTATTTCCCCAGAACCTCCAGGAGGAGTAGCCCGATCTGCAGTGAGTAGAGCAAAGCCATCACAGTAACTTATTTTTAAAGTTATTTCAAACCTATTTGCACCTTTACTGAGTATTAAGATATAGCTACAAAAGTGTTATAGGCAGGATGCTCAGAAATATAATATACATATTTAGCTAATTATATTAAACAATGTTTAAAGCTAATCAAAGAAATTCTAGGTTTCTGCATCTATCAAGGAGATAAACCATGTTAAAGCTTGTAGGAATAAACCTAACTGTGAAAGGAATGCAGGGTTGTGTTAACAGAGCAATAAATCTAAAGGTAAAATGGGCCTATACATAGCACCCTGCAAATCTGTGGATATCTGCTTTATAGACGTGGACAATGTTTGCGGATTGGACATGGATATAAATTTTATAGGTAGAACCCTGCACGGATACACCAACCTCCTTCCCTCCCCCACCACCCAACCCCTTTCTTCTTCTTCTTCTCAAAGAAATGACCACAGTTGTGGTCAGCTGGTGCTTGAAATCCTCTTGATAGATGGCAAAAATGCTGTTGGCAGGTTGAGCTCGAGTTTGGCACTGACTCCCCTCACTCCTACTTGCCTTCCAAGCCCCTCTGTTCCTCCAGGATTTAGGGAAGGCTACAGTATGGGTGGGATTTATCATTAGAATGCTGCTGGCTGCTCTCAAGGAGTGAGGCTGAATGGATGTTCCGGATTATAAGCTCAGAGCTTTTTGAGATGGGAATCTTGTATGTACTTTTTATATACTGAAGAAATAAACTCTGCTATAGTTGCAGAGGTAAGTGGCCCAACTTGCACCTGTAGCCTGATCTATTAATTGTATATTAATTATATGGATTACTTAAGAATTCCCAGTTCACACACTGAGGTTGAACCACTCTGAGGTTTGACAGGTTCTTGTCCCAAGATCAGGTCCAGTATTATTAAGATTACTGTTTAGTTGGGAACCCCGATGTGCAGAGTTGCAACACTCACACTTTAGGAACCCTTCTGTATTTACAATAGTTGAATACATTTAGCAAAGTCACAAATACTCTAACCCAGCAAGGTAGACAGAGATAATACAGAATGTACATCTGAACAGATCTCTCTCCGCCTGCCCACTGACTGGGATACTTTTATGTTAGCTGACACCACTATGTCTCATGCATATTCAGCAGAAGTGTCTCCCCTCTTCCTTATTTGTATCTCCTCACCCTACTAATGTTGGGCTGTCCTTCTCCTATAGGTTAGTATATTAATGATCTCAACCTATCATATACATCAATTCATTGCCGTGGCACTCTTGTATTCAGACATCTGCAGATGTTCCCATCCCAAGATATCCACAAGCTGATGTTAGCTCATGTTCCTGTGGTTGGCTGGTATTGTTGTGGACAAACTTCCCCCTTCTACACTATTCTCAGTTCCTCAAAACTTAGGGGTGACCATTTGGCACAGATAAATGGCTTAAGTTCATAGACCTCAAGCCTTAAGTTAACTGCTGAAGCCAATGTCTTATAGGATACAGGCCTGTAGGTTCCTTGCATTACTGCTGAATAAAATAAATACTAAAGCTAGTCCTATGGGCTACACATCCAGTAGAAATGCAGACTCTAATTCTTCCCAATTCCCTTTCCATCATGGGTCAAATTCAGTCCTGGTCTAAACAGGTGCAATGCTGTACTTACTGAATATGATCCAGCATATAAATTCAGTTCTCCCATTCCTCAATATTTGCCTTTTCTTCCCACTCCTATGTTTAATAGGAGGACGTGGGAGACGGCTGACTTCCTTTCCACCCTCACTTGTAATCTCATTTGGCTAAAGAAATTCACAGAATTTAGAAATAAGAAGTTACCTGGTTTTATTTAACAGAGTATTACGCTCACTGTTTCACTATTTCAAATTCCCTTTGAATATCTAATGTTATCAGATATGATATTTTAACCATTCTTTTCCTTTTTTAAAAAGGAAAATGCACATTACAATAAAACATGGTAGTGACAGACGGTCTGGGATAGTCCCCAGCAGATTCAAGTACAAGAACAGAACATTCTGAAACAATTCTTTCACATTGTGCAAAATCTCTCTTCAGTGCACTGTGAACACCGTGAACACAGATAAGCAGGCTGACATCTGATTTACCAGTTCAACCAATCCACAGTAGGAATATCCAAAAGAAAGGCATGCAGTATTTAAATAGGGCATCAGAACAGCAATGTGGCAATATGTTGCCATTACAAATAATCCACAATGTGTTATGCATTATGGGAAGTGGCTCCCTCAGCTCTAGAATTATGCAACACTGTTTGGATGTTAAGTCCACTCTTCTCATCACTAAGTTAACTAAAAAAAAAAAAAAAAAAAAAAAGAAGAAGAAGAATGTTGATCCAGAATTATTCCTGGCTATGTCTCACTAGCCAATAGGTGAGCTCTTTCTTCATTTGTGCCCAGAGGGGTCTGCAAATTGGATCTGTTCGAGAAGGCAAGGAAGGAAAAAGGAAACAGTTTGATAGAGCTTCTGGAAACTTTTGCATACATAATACTAGCATTATTTAACAAAAACAAAACAAAAAAACACCCCAAAACAAAAGCAAGTGCAGTCTGTGCCCCCAGAAATATTTCAAGTCTCTTTAATTACAAGGCTGATAGTGTGAAAAAACAGAAGTATGGTTGAAAAAAAATCTGTATTTTTCTTAATGAAAACCTTTAAAATCTGGTTTGAAATGGATGTAAATAAAAGTCCTACAATACCTCCTTCTTCTTCGTGAGGCCTCTATGATATAGAATATTCCAATAGCTAGTCCCTTTAAAGAAATGGCCATCAATTATTACAGTTGTAATATTTGTGTAATATTTTACAGTTGCAGTCTGTAATAAAAGCAACAAGCAAGAATACTAGCTTTACTTACACTTAATAACGCCCATCCTCCTTGTATGGCGGCAGCCCATTCAAACCCCAGCCTCTCATTTAGGTATCCACCTAATGTTGGGCCTACAAAAGCTCTAAATATATCAAAGAGAAGAAGTATGGGTACCTCAAAGAAGAGATTACAAAGGTCACAGATAAGAGAGATTCTTTATTACAATACATTGAGACAAGAGGTTTCAGATCTATAGCTAATGTACAGGTGGCACAGGTTGCCCCAGTACAGGAGGTGACTGACACAGGGACTCTGTCACTGTAGTCCATGCACCAAACTCAGATTTAGTGGAGGGGGAAAAAGCCTCAAAATAAAAACAAGCCTGTTTTCAAACTTGGGGCCCATTGACTCCTGAGCTCATGCAGAGTCCCACCGATTTCAATGGAACCATGCACAGGCCTGTGCTAGAACTCAATGCAGGAGTGGGGCCTTGTGTTTAAAATTAGCCTACTTATACAGGTGCCTAGTTTTCTGGGGTGCTGAGCATCTTACAAGGGTCATTGACTTCAATGTGAATAGAACAGTACTGAAAGTACAGTGCAGTGTCATTCTCGTGCAGTAGCACACATTCCTGTCTGTTTACAATTGACTTCACTTCTTGTGAAGTTAATGGAAAACAGAGAGGGAGGTAACTCCGTGTAGTTTCACTGTCCAAGATTGAGTCGATACATGAATATTTTTTATTATTTGTACTGATGCGGTGCCTAGAGGTCCAGGCCCACTGTGTTAGGCCCCCTTCACAGATGGTCTCTGCACCAAAGACCCAGGGGTGCTGGAATTAGGGGTGCTGGCAGTGCGGCTGCACCCCTGGGCTTGAAATGGTTTCCATTATATACCGGGTTTAGAGTTTTATTCAATGGCTCTCAACACCCCCACTGTACAAAGTGTTCCAGTGCCACTGCCAACAGCTTAAAATGTAAGCGTAAGCTGAGAGAACAGATAGATACAAACAGATGGGGGAAGTACACTGTAGCACTGAAACAGTTATCATTTGTGTAGCCAACACTAGTCACAAAACACCAGCAGCCTAGTTCTGGTCAGTGGTTTGTAACCCACCCATGCTGTGAGGCCCATAATAGAACTGTGAAGCAGAGATCATTTTAAAAAGCTGCTTCAATTTACACAACTTAAAAACGCATTTAGTAACAGGAGAGGACGGGTGTGAGTGACCTTGAACTGCACGCATCTGTACTATGTCCACCAGGCTGTTGATGAACTCCCAGCATTGTTCTCAACTGTCCAGCACTAAGCAGGATACCCAGCATTTCAGTCACTCAGAAGAGAGAATCCCATCAGCTGCCAATACTGATGATAAAGTGGGGCAGACTCAAATCCTGGTAAATGCCCCAGTGTGGCATTCTGAAGGGGTCCTGAGAGCTGAGGAAACTGAGGCAGGACATTGGAGAGCCATATTTAGCCAGTAGGGGGCACTACAGGGCAAGCAGGCCCTTTTACACACTTAAGCAGCCCAGCAACTTTATGACCGAAATACAAGAAGTTTATAGACAGTCACTGTGTACCTACCCAAGTGACCACATTGCACTGAAGAGCCCAGACACCAGTCCCAACACACTTAACCCCTCCTCGAATCCATTCTCACTGGAGAAAGACAGACAGGTTATTTCCACTAGGTACACGGCTTGCCTTTTACAGTGCTCCCTGACTGGGAAATACATTAACGTGCACACAAGTGCATCCAGCACGGAGAAGCCTCTCTGCAAAGAGGATCCAGAGCTTTCTGCCCCATGTCTTGCCTATTAAGCCATCTGGCACCACCTCCCTGGGAGAAGGAAGATAAGGACAATGCTAAGTGGAATTCCCAGCACTACAGTGTCATCACCATTGGCAGTGTGATAACTGGATTTTTATGTCATACACAGTCAGTCTTGTGGGGCATAGGAGAAGGAAAGCTGACAGATGGGTCTGAAAAAGGGGAAAGCCCTTGATTCCAAGGAGAAATGCACTTTGGCTAAACATGGAACCAAGAGGATGTCAGCCCACTATGGCCAAGCAGCATGGAAGATGGGAAACTGCATTTAAAGTAATCCTGACTCCTGCTGATAGAACTGTTGCTGTAGGGTCTCCCGGAAAGCTAATTATATTTGCTGGATATTAACCTTTCCAGTGAGCTGAAATAAGAGCCCCTTTAATAAATATATACACATCAGTCTTGTGGTTTGCTATGCAAACCACCAAAACCAGCTGGACCCCATGACTCTAATGAGGTCATCATACCCCCTTACCAATAAGTAAAATTCAAAAGTGCTTAGGTGATGTAGAAGCCCAGATCTCTCTTTAAAAAAAGAAAAAGAAAAAGAAAAAGAAAAAGGACACTTGAAAAAGTGACTTTGGCTCTTTTGAAAGTTTTACCCAACATCTCAGACTCAGATCAACAATTAATTACTTCCCCCCACCTCAAAGAATGAAATGGTGGTTGAAAGTTGTTTGAACAGCTTCTAAGTAGTAGTAGTAATTAAAGTTGTGATAGACAGGATTACTTACTAAGCACAATGCAGCATCTCAGGGAACAGTGGGATACCAGACATCCCAAGGGAAAAGCCAGTCAAAACCAGCATTAGGACAAACATCCAGAGTGTGCTGCAAAATAAGCATTTAAAGAAGTTTTACACCATTCCTTTCAAATAAAGCTTTATTTAGGACTGTTATACCAGCTCTCCATGATTCAGAGACTAGTTTTCCCTTCAAAGCATCATTAGCTGTAATATTCATTTTAAAATTACCTAGTAAATCGTTCTACGTTTCGACAGAAGAGATTTTTTAATAGTGCAGCTCCAGTCTGAAAAATGGACTTTGTGAAAAAATAAAGAATTCTGTGATTTCCTTATGCAAGGAGCTCAGTTTATAAACAGAGACTGGTTTTACCAACTGCTGACCCTGCAAATTCATTCTGGGATTGTTAAATTCAAGTTACACCAGTGTAGATATAGAAAAGGGAAAAAACCCTACACGTGCAGGTCTACAGTACGGGGCTAAGTCAACCTAAGTTACGCAACTCCAGCTACATGAATGACATAGTTGGAATTGATGTACCTTAAGTCAACTTATTGCAGTGTCTACACCACGCTGGGTCGACAGGAGAAACTCTTCCATTGACTTACCTCATGCTTCTCGTTCTGGTGGAGTACCGGAGTCGACGGGAGAGCAATCGGTTGTCGATTTAACCAGTCTTCACTAGACCCTCTAGATCAACAACCCGGTGGATCAATCGCCACACGTCAATCCCCCAGTAAGTGGCGACAAGCCCCTAGTTAGTTTCCTGAAGTTTTTCCTCCACTCACCCCTCCTCCCACGAATGTTTGAAAATGGTTATGTTCTTCTTCAAAAGTTAGAAAAAGAAGGTTCTATACCTTAGCAACCCTTGCCATCAGTGTCATTTCACAAATGTAACAGAGTATATCATTTGAAGAAAATAGGGGTAGGACAGGTGGCTTTGCAAAAAGAATGCAAACTGTCTTCACATTTTTTTGGCAATTATTTTCTATTGAGAGGCATTTCAATGTCATAAATATCCACGGAGAGACAGGCACTGTAGTTTTTTACCTCAGCGTAGCTAGTTGAGGTAAACAGCAAACACAGGCTATAGCATTTACCTCACATAGCTACATCGAGATCAAAAAATACATTACCTGTCTCCCCTTGGATATTACATCAAGATGGCTCTCTCAATGGGATTCCCTCCCTCCACCCTCCCCCACCCCATGAAGACATAGCCGTAGTTAGTTCTTGGGATGCATAAGCCACAAAATAATTCACTTTGCTCTCCCACAGCTATGTTGGTCCTGGAGGACTTACCAGTAATAAGAAAACTAACCTTTATTATTCTCCACCCCACACACAGACTAAAGTGAGTAGATACAACTCTGAAGAGGCTCAGTTGACAAGTATTAGATAGAGATAAAAGGTGGTAAACTGTACCTTTCAATATGCAAGATGGGAGCAGGTCCTAACAGGAAAAAGGACAGTGCGGTCAGTAAGCCCCCAAAGACTAACAACCATTTCCTCAGGTGCTGTGAAAGAGAAATCAATGGTCTGAAGAAATCCAAACTCAACCAAACTCTTATCTGCCAAACTAGCACAAACGCAAAAATAATGTGGTTAAGGTATTTCTGGACACCTCAAACCCACCAGGGAAAGGAAGATACTTGAGACTCATTCAGATGCATTTCCCTTCCTTCAGAAGCATCTCACACCTCACATGGTGAAGTGGAAAGAGGGATTTAGAATAACTGTCTGGAGAAAGTTAATATTCTCTCCCCATCATATCACAGTACAGATCATTAAACTCAACATTAGTTATGGTGTCACAGTATTGCCTATTCCAAGTGTAAAAAGATGCTGTAGTTATGACAAGTACCAGAGGTGAATTTAGAGTTTAGCTTGACTGCCTCAGATCCCCTAAAATCAACTGTTAGAAGTGGCCCCTGGGGAAAGCTGTTTTACATTATAACTGGGGCTCCACAGGACCTCTGCCAGAAGGAGATGCATGGGAGCAACAGTGATCAGTACACTTCCTAGGTCATGCCCACTCCATGGCAACTGCTCCATACTATGCAGATAGTATCAGGAGGCTTTCAGGAGGTGAGGGCATCTCAAGCCACTGTGCCCCCATTCCAAGCAGATTCTGCTACCAGGGGCCCAAAGCTTGGGTTCCACTAGCAGAATGATCCAAGTCCTACTTTTCTGCAGCATAAACAAAACAAGTAAGAGTGTAGATATGATTCTGATGTGAGATTAATGGCTCTCATTACTGTCAAGGAAAGTTGACAATGCACCCTCATTTTGGACATACAATGCCTCTGCTTTTCCAATTTTCCTCAGTCAATTAGTGACAGCCAAAAGTAGTAGAAAAGTGATATGCACTACATCAAAAAACAGTGGACACATTTTCACTTGTGATCACATAAGGCTTGGATAAGGATCTCCAAAGATAAAAAGCTGTGTCACCAAAATCTCTTACACCATCCACATATCCTGAGCTCATTTGAAATATATTCATACAGTTAGACTGTTACTAAGAATGTGAAGATACAGTGGGCCAAAACATTTTTCTGATAGGAAAAAGACAACTTCATGATAGTTTGTTCACTGCCCCATAATCTCCTGCCACCAGCTCCACTTGAAGTAGTGAGTCAGAGGTATTTGCCCACCTAAAATCCTGCTCTATACCAGCTACAACATACATACACTTGTCCATTATGTTTACTGTATCTATTTATGGACTTATTGTAGCACCTAGTCCTGCAAATGGATACATGCAGGTGGGCCCTTTTAGAGTTCCATTGACTTGAAGAAAATGGGACTTAGTGCAGGTGTAAGGGCCTGTGAAGAATGGGGGTCTGGGTCTATGACTTCATAACAGAGACTTCTGTTTTTTTACTTTGCATATTTAAAATTAGCCATGAACATAGGACATTATACAAGCAATTAGAGATTGTACTTACTGGCATTTTATCACTTAGAAACCCAAGCAATGGTGAAGACAGGGAGTAGGAGAGTGCCAAACCTAGGAATACTAACCCCACATAACCAGCTGGTAATTTGAACTGTAAAATAAAATTTCACAAAAGCATGGAATTAGCAAAGTATTCCATTATCATTACATTTTAAATTAAGTGGCTGAAGTCAATATTTTTTTTCTTATTTTTGTATGAAGTGTATTTTTCAATACTTGGGATATCAGCTGTAGATTTTCAGTTCCCTCCCCATCCCACATATCTTCAGTTCATCAAGTTCCATCACTCCAATGATATACACAGTTCAAATCTAATCTCAAAAGGAAACAGATTTGCCCCCCAATCCAGAATGCTGAAACTTAATCTGGGGTGTTTGAAATCTAAATCTCAGAGATTGGTATTAAGTAACTCTTGTATTTACATCTCCGATTTTTAGTTTTGTTAACAGTGAGTAGAATTCTATAGTATTTATAGCTTCCTATTTGGTGCATTTATTTTACAGCATAACTTGCCTTGAAAATACTTTCCCCCCTGCAATTTAAAAGCCAGAGATTTGATTTTTCTAAACAGTCAGATGAAAAGATATTCAGCACAGTGAATGGAAAGAAGAGAGGTAAGGAGTCTCACTGCAGTTGAAACAACAGAATGAGAAGCATTCTGAGGGCAACAAAAATGACTAGGGGTATGGAACAGCTTCCATGTAAGGAGTGATTAATAAGACGAGGACTTTTCAGCTTGGAAAAGAGACGACTAAAGGGGGGGATATGATAGAGGTCTATAAAATCATGATTGGTATGGAGAAAGTAAATAAGGAAGTGTTATGAGAAGGAGTAAACAACACAAGAACTAGACGTCACCAAATGAAATTAATAGGCAGCAGGTTTAAAACAAACAAAAGGAAGTATTTCTTCACACAATGCACTGTCAACCTGTGGAACTCTTTGCCAGAGGATGTTGTGAAGGCCAAGACTATGACAGGGTTCAAAAAAAGAACTGGATAAACTCATGAAGGATAGGTCCATCAATATCTATTAGCCAGGATGGGCAGGGATGGTGTCCCTAGCCTCTGTTTGCCAGAAGCTGGGAATGGGCGACAGGGCATGGATCACTTGATGATTATCTGTTCTGTTCATTCCCTCTGGGGCAGCTGGCATTGACCACTGTCAGAAGACAGGATAGTGGACTAGATGGACCTTTGGTCTGACCCAGTATGGCCATTCTTATGTAAGTTAGAATGTTGTAGCGTAAGCTTTGTTCACTTGCTATTTGACTTTCCCTAGTTTTATAGGCCAATGCTACAATGCCATCAACAATTCACAAATTTAGATTTAAAGAGCTCAGTTAGTTCAAATATTCCAGAATGGCAGCTACTGCAAAGTCTGAAAATACTCTTCTTACCCAATGACATGCAAGTGAACCCCCTGACATTCACATGCATTATCTGTACATACCTAGCCAGAGACAGGAAATGGGTAAGAATCAGCAATACAATATCAGGCTCATATAACACGGACAATAAGCACATTTGATAGAATAAGATTTATTAGAACATTGATTTTAAAATATTTGGATTAAAGTACTCCATATTGCTGAAGTCATTAACCCATCTCTTGCACATTAAGATGACTCACCTTCTCTGAAACGAACAGTGACATAGTGGGATCCAGAAAGCCTAAACATGCACTTAGTGAAAATATAGTAAAACAGAGAAATACAACTTTTGGCAGAGTAATGAGCATCCAGAAGGATTCCTTGGTAGCGACTGCATCTGTTTTAAAAAAAGAAAAGAAACTGTGTTTTTTGGTACATGGGTTGTGTTTAATCCAATATGCTTATAACCCACTTTCTTGCTTCCAAGATTCAGTGTTCTCTCTCTCCCACTGCTTTGAAGGTAGTCATCTCATACACAAATTGAAGCAAAATTTAGAATGTTACAGGTCATCCTTGGACATTGTTACAAGATCAGATTTATTTACTTTTAAGCCTCCAGCTTGGAAACTAGACAAATGAAGAAAGCAATCGGAACTTAAATTTTCCTACTTAATACCTTCAGTTTAGAACAAAGTAATTGGGCAAATGCTTATTGAGTGACTAAGATGATAGAATAGACAAATATAAGAAATACAACCACTTTTCAGGTGCCATTGTGATGTTTTACATTTCTAAATTATGCTCCATGGGCCTGATCCTGCACACACTTCAATATGTGTATGATCTCATTGTGCGTACAATGAGACTGCTACTTGCATGCATTATCATCTACAAGATCATAGCCTACTGCTCTTTGTACAATGGACTTCCACATTGCAGAATTCCAAAGCTGCATAATTCAGAGTATTTTTATCCAAGCTATAAACATCTTCCGAAGACAGACAAATGGTTAACCAGCATATCTCATCTAACAGTAGTAAGCAGGATACAGACTCATATATATAGGTGGTACTTCCTCTCCAATGATTTGTTATAATTGTCATCCTCTCCCTTTTGGGCTTCCTAAAAAGATTAGAGTCTTTAGCCATGCAGTTCCTCTGATCCTCCAATGTTAAATCACACCTGTACTCTTCTATTAGTTTCACCCTATCTTTTAACAGAGGCTGTTTATGCTAGATCAACAGATACCTTTTTCTCCTCAAAACTGGGCCATCCAAACTTGATCTAATGAAATGCAATCACAACATGAGACTTCAAAGAACTGCATGCAGATGGATTCTCTTCCACGTGTGAAATATATCTTGCATCGTGGAATGCAATACATAGGAATCCCTTTGTCCTCGGTACTGTAAGCCTCCAACTTGCTCAATAGCATGGTGAGACAAAAGGTACATCTACGCTGCAAAAAGACCCACAACGGCGAGTCTCAGAGACTGGGTCAACTACTTGGACTCGTGCTACTTGGCTAAAAATAGCAGTGTAGACATTCCTGCTCAGGCAGGAGTGGGGGCTCTGAGACTCTTCAGAGCCAGTCTCCAGCCTAAGCAGGAATATCTACACTGCTATTTTTAGCCCAGTAGCGCAAGCCCAAGTCAGTTGATCCAGGCTCTGAGACTGGCTGCTGTGGGGTTTGTTTGTTTTTCTGTGTAGACGTACCCTAAGACAACTTATTGTTTAAAAGTCCCAAAGAGACACATCATGTAGAAAAATCTCACTTCATTTCAATGCAACAGAGAAAGCTAGTGTTTACAGGGATGGACACAAGAGATGAGATTCATTCCAAGCCACGTGCATGCATGATTTTTAGTTATGTTCAACAAGGACCTGATCCTGCAACATTAAAATCAGTTGCAGTTTTGCCACAGACTTCTTGTGCTTGATCCAGCTCCAGGGATCTCATAAGGATAGCTACATACATGAGGAATTAAAGGGTTTTACTAGTGTGAGTATGTATCTATCCATCCATCTCAAATTTGAAATATTGAACAAAGGAAGTGGAAGTAAAGGAGCCTACCGTATTTTGGTAAGAGGTACATGTTCAGAGGCACCAGGATCAGCACTAAGCATCCTAGCACTATGAAAGGGACTTCATAGCCAAAGGACTGATATAAAAAGCCACCTATAGGTGGGCCCAGCACTAGTCCAAGCCCTGTAAAAATTTCAAGAGTGCCCTAAAGGGGGGAGGGAGCAAAGGGGGAGGAGGAGAAAAAGAGAACAAAGGTTAGTAGATCATTAGTAGGTCATTGATCAAGAGCTAGAACAAATCATAACCATAAACCAAAATCTTTACATGCAAGGACAGCAAAGGAAGACTGAAAAGTTGTCTGGTTAAAAGCTAAGTGAGCTTTTAAGAGGAAGACCAAATGTACTGCTTACTTTTTCAGTCTTAGCCACTCACATGATGCCTAATGTACTCAGTTCCTGGGGCAAAACATCTCCAATGCTGTTCCATATACCCAATACATCTGCAAAGAGGCCAGCAATGAAGTGACTACATTTCCCAAATACAAAATTACATTAGAACCTGAAGGGGAGAACTTAGTAAGCATATTGCAATGAATCATCATTAAGTCACCTCTTTGGGGCTTGGGTGAAAGATGCCTTAAATTAAATAACTTTTCTACCTACATACAATTGGTCAAGTTTAGCCCCTTCAACTATCTAATGAAGTCTATCAAGCTACAACAAAGATACGTTTGCCCCATTAAGTTTGGTTTCTTTTATCCGATACAACCTCAAAGAACAGGATGAAGGGGACCTACATGGACTTCATCTCCTCCTGTTATAGTACCATTAGTCCCCATTGCCAACATATGTTACATCATTTGATCAGCTTATATTTAGAGCATGGATTTTTCCTGAAAAAGAGTATTTAGCCATAATATCCACTGGGAAGTGATAGAACAGTGACAAGAAAGCTCACATAAGGGTATGTCTACACTAGAAAGATGTACTGCTTGCACTATACGGGCAGTTCTTTCACCAGTATAGTTATTCCTATGCACGAAAGAGAATAACTACACTGGTAGAAATCACCTTTATACTAGTATACCTGTGTCCACATGAGGGCTTTTACTAGTATAACTATTTTTGATGTAAAAAAGCTACCCATAATTAAAATACTGGTAAAACTTAAATGCATACCAGACTTAAGTCCCTCCCCCCTTGATCTCTTTTGAGTTAATTTGTTTAATTGGGGGGGGGGGCTTCTTTTGTTTTGTTTTTTGTCACAATGCTATAATGTCTGTGTGGCAGTCTACTTCTGTGATTCTAGCTGCTAGCACAGGAAACAATGATTCTAGTTATTTTTCACAGACATCACATATGCCATTCTATGTTATCTCTCATGGAGGAACAAGATTGACAGCTGCCAGAGACCCAAGTTCAACAAGTCCATCTTTAAGTACCTTCATGACCTGGGGCCTTGCATAGGGAAATGGAGGATTTGATCTTGTCAAACGTTCTTTTCCCCCAATTAAACTTTTATTTAGCCCTCCATCCTCCCCTGCACTTCAGCTCTCCCCCACTTCCCCAAACAAAACAAAAAAATATTACTTCTATCTAATTAAACAGCAGCACCAGTTCCTACTCCAAGTCTCCAGCCATACCCACTTCTTAGATCCCTCCTCCCACTGCTACTGGCTTGCTGTTTTTAAAGCTAGGGCACAGCATTAGTATCATGCAGGGTTTGGTCAGCACTCCCTCCCTTCTGTCTATTCCTAGTGAAGCCATCACCAATGCAGCTGGACACAACAGCATAGGGCACTTTGTAACAGTCCCACTAGAATTGATGAACCTTAGAAGGAAAAAGCCCAGCTGTGATGGTTTAACTCTTCACTGAAGTCTCTGGTTAAACAGATTGATTCTTAAGCAGAAAGCTGTATGACAAGCCAGGCCATTTCCCTTTGTCATGTTATGTCATATGGCATACGCCATGTCATAATGGAATTCAGTTTTCATGAAGACTAGATTAAGTGGTTGCATTTTTAAAAAGCTTTCAAGTTGTTCATTGTCTGTCAGTATCCCACCCATGTTTCAAACAACACTGGCAAATGGATCACAACAAGAATATATTAAAAATCCCTCCTCAACTAATCCTCAGAAAGTCATAAAGACTTTTTATTGTCTTACACTCCTGCATAAGTTACTGACTGAGCTCAGTTTTACATCCTCATTCCTTCCACTGTTCCAGGGCCGGCATAACTTTTGTTGCACCTGAATCATGTTTATTCCTTTAGGCATTTAGCATTTTAATTTAAATTAGAGATTTATTTATTTTTTTAAGCTGGAGGAGCATATGGTAGACACTTGATGCCAGCTGTAGGGTTACAGTGGCTCTTTGGTACACAAAATGCATAAAGATGTATGAGAGTCATTAAAACACTTTTATTCTGGACATTTGGCTATAATGTGTAGTTCTGTACATACCATTACTGTAGCTATATTATTGGGAAAAGCCTTTGCAAGAATAGAAAATGAAGCTGTCACTGCTGCAGCAAAGCCTATGGCATCCATCGCTCTAACCAGAAAACACAAACCAATGAATACTGGTCCATCAGGTGCTTTGTCCAACAAACTGAAAGAACAAGGAAATAAATGAAATTTTGCAAAATAAAAACCAAAATCCTTAAAATACAACTGTAAGGTAAACTCCTGACGTCTTCTAGAGACAGCATGGTCCAGTGGTCAAAGCACAGGGCAAGTTTCTTGCCTTCTGTGAAATGGGAATCTCTCTTACCTACCTATCACATATGTATAACATCATATAAAGAAAGAGTTTGACAAGTTTAGACACCTAGCAGCCAATGGTAAGAAGCTCACCTCCACTTTTATTCCCAGTTGCTGTGAAAGGTGCTGTCTCTGGACCTTGCTTAGGGACTCCAGCTTTTTTGTATGTGCTTATGACTAGTATATATTTGATATATTAGAAGCTCCAATGTCTCTGGGTATGTCTAACTGCATTATAAACCCAGCCTCAGACCCAGGCTTGAGTCCTTACTCCATTCTTCTGTACCATCCACACAAAAATATTCTGACTTGAGTCAGTAAGCTCTCAGGACCTGGGTTTTAGGACCCACCAAGGGGGGTTGTGTGTGATGGGCTGTACGAGTGAGCCCAAGCCCTGCTGTGACTCAGGTCCAAGCCCGGTCTTTTGGCAGCATGGATACAGCTCAATCCTGGTCCCCTAACTTGTGGCCAAAGAGTCTTTCACCACTATACCATCATCCTCTGGACCTGTTTCTCTCAGACCTTCACGTCCAAAACTACCCACTCAGTTCCCAGGCATTGGAAGCAATCCTTCCTTTCCATGCTGACCGTTGAACTGGGTTCAACTATCTCCTGTGTTCACTATGCCCAGCAACAAGAAGCAGCCAGTTGTATTAATATACATGGAATAAATAGGTCAAAGGTGTTAGCATAACACAGTCATTGTTTAACAATTAAATAGCATAAAACAAGTTCGGGACTTGGGATACAAAGACTTTAGCCTCCTTAGAACCATAGCAAACACATCATTAAATATCCTTTTAACCTTTTGTTAAAGATACAGAAAAGGAAAAACAGTTAAAGTATTTGAAATGTAAAGTATTAAATATGACTTTCATTTTAACAACATCCCTTGTCCCCTTTCCCGGTAGAGAGTTTTCAGAAGAAAAAACAAAAACAAAAAAACTACATGTTTGACAGTCTCTTTGATGGTATTAAAGACAGCAATAACTGTCCTTTTGGGGGAAAAGAGAAGAAGTTAGGAAATCTCCAGCCCTTCTTACCTAACTTCTTCTCTTTTCCCCCCAAAAGGACAGTTATTGCTGTCTTTGATACCATTGACGAGACTGTCAAACAAGGGGTCTTTTTCTTC